AAGCAATAGCATGAAAAACAGCTGAAAGGATAAACAGTGCAATTCACATTCCCAAGATAATACCTGGTCATATCATACAAGCACCAGAGACACACATATAATTGTCCACCCTAACCTGAAGGACATTCTAGGAAGAGAGACTTTAAAAATAGAGCCCAGAGCCTGCTGTTTCAAATCAGCCCTTTGCCACTCTACTCTGATTAAGGCTTCTTGCTTGACCAGGGAGGAGCAGAAACTGAATTACAGACTTTAGCCTTCTCTGAAGGCCCCTCTTATGCCAAAAAGCAGCTGATTTATCCTTCAGATCTGTGTACTAAATGAATTCACCCAGATAAACAGATGGCCTGACCAGAGTGGCATTTCACAGCAACATGTGTTTGTTTGAATAACATGGTCATAAACCTTTCACTCTGGGTCTAAAATTAAATTGTGGCTTTTGGATGTTACCTGGGGTAACTCAGGAGAGAGCACTCAAATGTCAAATTTATGGTTTAGTTTCTTCAGTAAGTTCTAAATAATTTTTATAGTCATTTATAAGAAGAACTTAAAACATGTATACATTTTGTGTACATGTGTGTGGTGGTGGGGTATTGTACATAAAGATCCAAACTCTGTGATTCTGCGTACAGCTAAACAGACAGATTCACGCATGGGTTTGTGCCTCATCAGATGAAAAATATGCTTCACTACCATTTTGAGCCTGAAGTTTTACTTTCCAACGTAACAGCAGGCCAAGACTCTGGGATCTACTCTGCTGTAAAATTACTGATTGTCTCTGTATAATAAAAAATTAAGAGAAAGATAAAGAAAGAAACCTTCAGTTTGTACAGCAATTCTGCCCTAAATGACCATCTGATGTTACTCTTATTTTTTATTTTTTTGCTGTACGCGGGCCTCTCACTGTTGTGGCCTCTCCCGCTGCGGAGCACAAGCTCTGAACGCGCAGGCTCAGCGGCCATGGCTCACGGGCCCAGCCGCTCCGCGGCATGTGGGATCTTCCCGAACCGGGGCACGAACCCGTGTCCCCTGCATCAGCAGGCGGACTCTCAACCACTGCGCCACCAGGGAAGCCCTGATGTTACTCTTAACATCCTCTCAGAAGAGCCAAGGATGGTGTAGGCAGGATGACATATTTATCAAAGGTGGAATAGGATGCATAAGAGAGGAAACTGAGTCTGCAATGCAGTTCTGTACTGTTTTCTTCTCATATTTCATATTAACAGAGAATAACTGACTGATATTTTTGTCATACTAGAGTTATGTACTATTAGTTGAGATACTCTAATAAACCCCATCCTATTCTGTGTGTTTATCCAACTACTACCCACGAGAATACAAGAAACGGCCATTATTGTTTTAATGGTGTGAAGACATTATGGAGATTATTTTTTCGTTTCTATTCACTATTATGTTATACTTTTTAAATAAAATTTTATTTTGAGATAATTATAGTTTCACATGTAGTCAGAAGAAACAATGCAGAGGGTTCCCTGTATATCTTTCACCTAGTTTCCCCTAATAATAAAATCTTGAAAAAACTATAGTAAAATGTCACAAACAAGAAATTGACATTGATACAATTCATGAGCCGTATTCAGATTTCACCATTTTTACACGCACTCATTTTTGTGCGTGTGTGTGTGTGTATTTGTGTGTGTATTTAGCTCTACATAATTTTATTGCATGTATAGATTCATAGGACAACCACTATGGTCAAGATACAAAACAATTCCAGCATAAGGGTCCCTCTACTATCCTTCTATAGCCACAGCCATCTCCCTCCCTTTTCCCACTCACTAACCCCTCATAATCACTGATCTATTCTCTATCTCTATAGTTTTGTCATTCCAAGAATTCTATATAAATGGAATTGAATCATATAGTATCTAACATTTTGAGATTGGCTTTTAAACTCAGCATAATTCCCTTGAGATCTCTTCAAGTTGTATTTCATGGTGTAGATGTACTACACTTTTTTAACTCATTCATTCCATTGAAGGGAAAATGGTTAGGCAAGCTGGGTTTTTGTTTTTGTTTTCTTCCAGTTTGGGGCTATTATGAATAAAGCTGCTATGAACATGCATGTACAGTCTTTTGGGTGAACATAAGTTTTCATTTTTCTGGGATAAATGCCCAAGAGTGCAATTGCTGGGTTTTATGGTAAGCACATACTTAGTTTTGTAAGAGACCTCCATACTCTTTCCAGATTGGCTAGACCATTTTACATTCCAACCAGCAGTATGTTAGATTGTTCTTATCATAATAAAATGACATTCCACACATCTTTGATAGCCCAGATCAAGTTCTCAGTGACATCTTCCCTCCCTCATCATTTTTATCTATGCTTACCTCTCTCTATCTTACTGCTCATTAAGATTTGTAGTCTTCCAATTTTTAAATATTCCTCCTCATTCCAACTACGCTGAAAACTGAGTCCTAGGATTGCTGTTTTCCTTTGGCATTTCCCTTGCTGAGCTTTGTACAATAATTAGTAATCAGAAAATAGGTTTCTGAATGTTTAAAATCTTTTATTTTAAATTAATTAATTTTTGGCTGTGTTGGGTCTTTGTTGCTGCATGCGGGCTTTCTCTAGTTGCAGTGAGCTACCCTTCGCTGCGGTGCGCAGGCTTCTCATTGTGGTAGCTTCCCTTGTTGTGGAGCATGGGCTTTAGGCGTACGGGCTCTAGGCGTACGGGCTTCAGTAGCTGTGGCACGCAGGCTCAGTAGTTGTGGCACATGGGCTTAGTTGCTCCACGGCATGTGGGATCTTCCCGGACCAGGGCTCAAACTTGTGTCCCCTGCATTGGCTGGCGGATTCTTAACCTCTGAGCCACCAGGGAAGCCCTTAAATCTTTAAAGTTGAATAGATAAAAAGTAATATGAATCAATGAAATGTGTTGTAGTTTTCAAAAAATGACCAACTTTGTTTTCAGAAGTGAAGTTATCACACTTAGGTAAATTCTAGAACCATTGTTATTAAGCAACTTACTACAGATACAGCAAATATGTGCTTATTCTATTTTGTTCCCAAAATAACCTTGATACTTTCGCTATGAAGATGTTAAACCATTAGAGAAATATCAAAATATTGTATCAGATTTTTAATTAGAATGGCTTAAATTACTGGTTTTCATTGCCTCTCTCTGGGTATTTCTTGCCTAGCCATCCTGGCATTAGTTGACATAAGAGCAATGATATGCTGGTAAATGTTTAACAACAAGCTGTCTAGAAGGAAAAAAAATGCCATGATGTATAGCCTTTGACAATTTCCATGATGTAAAGACTCTGACCACGGCCAATTTCAAGCTACCATTTTTGACATCACCAAATGCAGATTCAGGAAGAGATGCTTACAATAGGCTCTAGTGAGCCAGTATGAGCTAGCTCCAGCACACCAGTGCTAGAGATATATTACATTTAATTCGGAAAATGTTTTACTATATATCAAATTCAAATGAGTCATCTGCACATGGGAGTTTTTCGGTGACTTAAATCTCCAAAACCTATTTTCTCACCAGTAACCTCTAATGTTTAATGCTTTCCTGGATTTAGCCTACTCTTCCCCCAGCTAACATCTATGCATCCTTTTTGTCGTGCTCAGATGCCTCTTTCTTAGTTTCCATGGACCAGCAGCCTCCATCCCGCCACACCCAACTTATCACAGGACCACATGTTGTATTTTCTCACCACAGTCCTGACTTTCCCTTCAGAGTACGACATACAACTTATGAATGTACGTTTCTTTTTGTTCCTCTTTGTCTGTACTAGACTGGACACCATGTGAAGGCAGGGACTGGGTCTATTTTGCCCCCTCTAGCCCCAGCAGCCCGATGAATGAATGGATAAATTCACCTCCTTCTGCACTGGGGTGGCCCTTCCTCTCTCACTTGGCCCATGAACTTTTCAGTCTGTTAAGATATCACAGGGGAAAAGAAGCTATTGCCTTTCCAGCCATCCTCATCTGTTAGAGGAGGTCACGGAGAGGACGTGACTGTCGGCTGATCCACGAGCTGGACCAGGGCAGTCGGAGGTCGCTCACCCCCGCCCCTGTCCTTGGAATGTACATTCTGCCCACCTTTTTCCACAGCTGGAGCCGTTTTCAAGGATGCAGCTTTGAGAGAGCAAGGTGGCGTTGAGACCATCTGGATGGTAGGTGTGACTGAACCCAGGTAAGGCCTTTGTGTAAACGTTTAAGAGTCTGGCCAGGGATGCAGAGATCTCCTCCTCCGTGTACGAGCGCCAGTTTCAGATTTCACCCGGGGGGAGACTTGCAAGGTTCCTAATCATCATCATCCCAAGTCGTACTCACATCAGCAAAACACTGTGCACTATCACCATTGGTTGGTGCAGAGGCTGTTACGGAGCAAAGCGCCCCTTGCCCAAAGCCACATGGAGGCCAGATACTGTGGAGGCCTTCCGCGAAAAGAAAAAGCTTTATTTCAGGGCGGTCAAGCAAGGAGACAGGAGGCAAGGCTCAACTCTGTCTCCCCATGGCAGAGTGACGTGGCTATTTAAGAGTCAGGGTTCTGGGACGAGGAAGAAAAAGGATGAGAGAGGCTGGTTCCAAAGTTTATTGACTAGCTGAACTCTTAACGCGCAGGCGCAATCAGGTTCCCTTAACGCGCAGGCGCAATCACAGGAGACCTGTGATTCAGGTCTCCGTGAGCCGCGTGTGCGAGTTTTAGGCGAGCGGGTATGAAACAGGTGGGGAAAATTTGGATTGTGTTGTCAAAAAGGTTACCCACTGGACAAGCAAGCTTATTCTAAGCAGACTCTGATCGGCCACATAGGTTCAATCCAGTTTTAGCCAGTTTTGTTGCGTTGTAAGCGGAGAGTTTTTTTTTTTTTTTTGCGGTACGCGGGCCTCTCACTGTTGTGGCCTCTCCCGTTGCGGAGTGCGCAGGCTCCGGACGCGCAGGCTCAGCGGCCATGGCTCACGGGCCCAGCCGCTCCGCGGCATGTGGGATCCTCCCGGACCGGGGCACAAACCCGTGTTCCCTGCATCGGCAGGCGGACTGACTCTCAGCCACTGCGCCACCAGGCAAGCCCCGGAGAGGTTTTTAACAAGCTGTTGCCTTATCTGCTGTTGTGTAAGACAAGCTCAAGAAATTCTGTTAGTCATCGGTTTCTGTTAACCCTGTGGGGCACGTCTCAAGGTAGGGGGAATTTATTTCTTTCATCAACATTTACCAACTTTTTTCTTTTCCTCTGTTTTTTTTTTTTTTTTTTTTTTTTTTGCGGTACGCGGGCCTCTCAGTGTTGTGGCTTCTCCCCTTGCGGAGCACAGGCTCCGGACGCGCAGGCTCAGTAGCCATGGCTCTTCAACTGGTTCATTCGGCCGTGCAAATGTTCTCACCACCCCATTACCCCCTTGCACTCTCTCTCTCTCTCGTCTTTATTAACAATCATGTATGATTGTTTTATCATTATAGAGGTAAAGGGGCATTAAATGGTTCTGTTTCTTCCTTCGTTTTTGTATCACTTGCAGAAATTGCAAAGCTAGAAAGATTTTCTTTGCTCTGTTTTCTCTCTTCCCACACTAGCTCTCTGAAAGCATGTTTTTGTTTTTTATTGTATATTCTATCATCTGGGACCTAGAACAGTGCCTGCTACACAGTAGGCATTCAGAACACATATGTTGAATGAGTGAATTTATTTCTGAATCATTTAGATAAATTAGGAGAGTATGCAGTTCATTCTAGAAAGAAGCCTGAGGACAGATGTTTTATACAATAATGATATTTAAATATTTTAAAAAGTAAACCAATCTGTGAATAGATAACTATTAGTTAGTTATAATTAATTTAGCAACTAAATAAATACTTGAAATAACTGTAAAGTTACCAAAAAAATTCAGTATATTATGGGTTGATCTTTGTCTTGTCCTATAACACCTCTCAGGCTCTGGGTTTTGAAAGTACCAATTTCCTGAAGTAACAGCTAGTTGATTTTTGTCTCAAAGATAATATTTTACATGTATGTGGCACTTTAGAGATTACAAAGCTGTTTCTTATATTGTCACACTTGATTATTATTCAAACTAAATGGAGAATTTCCCATGCTTTTAAGTCAGACTGTATGCTGTTGGATATAAAAGAAATAAATACTGTGTCAGAATATGCTAGTTAACTTGGAAGATCTGTTTCTCTTTCCTTAGAAATAAGAACACTACTTTTACACAGGGCACAGATCAGACATCTAAGAATCTATTTTTCTCAGCTCCCTTACAGCGCACTGTGAATATGTGGCTAAGTTTTTATCAATGAGATTTAAGTGACATTGTGAACAATTCCTCCCTTAAATGGAGAAGACATGCTCTTCTTCATCCTTTCCTACATCCAAATACCTGAAATGCATTTGTGATCGCTGGAGCTTTTTCAGTCATTTTAGACCAAGAGGGAAAAGGCCACAACCATGTCCATCTTATCCCCCGTTGTATTTTCTACACTTAGCACAAGACATAGCATATAGTAGCTATAAAATTTAATATTTACCAAATAAATGAATAAACATAATTTCCTTGATTATATTCCTTCCTGCCTTTATTTTCTTCTTGGAGAAGCTTTGGCCAGCTATATTCTAAGGAAGTAGTTATAATACTAGAGGTATTAAAGGTCCACGTTTGCACAGTCCTATGCCATGCCATAGATCATTTTTAGCCATTTACACAATTAACTAGGTTTTTTTAAAGCTATAGAATTATTTTGAAGTCCCCATTGTAGTTCTTGGGAGAGTTACTGCATATAAGGCTTTACCATGACATAAGGAGCTTGTGCAAGAGAATTTATATCAGCTAAGAGATCTATAAGGTTAGGACTAGATTCTCACAAATCTCCAACAGTTTCAATAAGATAAGTTGGGGAAAGTATGCAGGTGACCTAAGGAGACATTAAGTACAGTTGGAGCCAGAAGGTAAAGGAAGATTAATCTCTGGAGGGAACTGAGGTCTGCATTGGGGTGTGATTCAGGGTGGGCTTCTGTGTCCTGGGCTATTGCATATGCAGTAGCTTTTACCCTTAGAGTTCTTACAGGTGTCATTCCGTCACTGGTAATTCCTGTGATTCTATGACTAACTTTACTTAAAAACTACATTTTGATAGTAGCTGTCTCTGGTTGTCATTACATTATTGTTTTAAGATGTAAATTATATTAAAGCTTTTGGGAACAGATATCAATACATTATATGGTTATTATATTTCCAAATGATCATTTAGAATATCCTAAACTTACAAACTTCCAAAATTCCTTTAAAAATTGCTTGGTTAGTGTAGTATCAAAAAGATCTCAAGGCAATATTTATACAAAGTAATAGCATATCTTTCCTACTTTACTGGTTTGAAAGATAAGAGTTCAGCGACGTGCCGTAAATTGCTTAAAACATTATACATACCCAGTCTTACTGGATCCCAGGTGGACTCATTGCCTCATCTTTATAAAGGATGGATTTTTTTTGACATGTGTTTAATGGTGGTATTTTTTGTAGTAGCTAATGCTGAGATTTCAGGAGAGAAATTTGGTGCTGGCAATATATTTACTATACTTCTGGCACATAAACCAAAAGCTATTAGACTTTAATGGTTTTTTTCCCTAAACTTTTTATAGCCTTTCATTTTTAATCGCTGCCAATCTGCTGATTTTATTTTAAGTAGATACTTCAAGACTGTGCTTTGTCAAAACAGACAGATGTATCATTAAATTCCCTCCCAAATTACACATTAGGCAATGTCTTTGTTCATGTGCTACTGAGGTATTTGAATTTGTTATAATCTGGAGAAGAAAGAAGGCCAGAGAGGTGATTGACAGAGCAAAGAGCTCTGTAATTTAAAATTGATTGTTCTGATTGCAGATGACTTTGTGAAATGCATATTAGCCAAAGTGGGGGTGATAACAGCTTTATGTGCTCATGTTGGCAGGTCACTGTGGCACTGTTTTGCTGCAAGAGGCTAGTGGAAGAGGCCACACCAGAAGTCTCTGGAGTTGCTTTCCTGTCTATTAATCATCTCTTGATAGAAACGGGTGAGGGATAATTTGGGTAATTCTCAAATGTGCCTTTTCAATTGGGTTATGTAGTAACTTCCTGTTAGTGCTGTAACAAATTACCATAAACAAAGAGGTTTAAAACAACACAAAATTTAGTTTCTTACAGTTCTGGAAGTCAGAGTCTGAAGTGGGTCTTACTGGGCTAAAAGTAAGGTGTCAGTAGAGCTGCATTCCCTATGGAGGCTTTAGGGAAGAATTTGTTTCCTTGCCTTTTCTGGTTTCTAACGGCTGTTTGCCTTCCTTGGCTTGTGGCCCTTTCTCCATCTTCAAAGCCAGCAGTGTAGCATCTTCAAACTTTCTCTTACTCTGACCTTCCTGCCTTGTGATCACATTGAACCCACAAGAAAACACAGAATAATCTCCCCATCACAAGGTCCTTAAGTTCATCACATCTGTAAAGTCCTTTTTGCTATGTAAGGAGACATTTTCACAAGTCCCAGGGATTAGAACATAGACATCTTTACAGAGGCCATTATTCTGCCTTCCACAGATTATTTAAATCTAATAATGCATATTAAGGGACTTCTGTATGTAAGCCCCTTTTCTACAGCTGAGAGCCCCTGATAGACTTCCATAGTTGTTCCTGGACCACACTGTCTGGAAAGCCATCTTTTTACCAAATGAGTCTAGTTAATGGTTTTAGTAAAGGAAAAGAAGTAGAGATTTTCTTGAGAAGAGGGGCATACCTTCCAATAAGGGGAGCATCTAAGTAAATTGAAGCTCCATGAGAACGACATGCATATCGTTGCCCATTGCCCCCACCCCATGATACACAGGACAGCGATACCACATCCTTGTTTTCAGTGACCTTTTTTTTTCTCATCCCATGAAGAAAATTTGAATCCATAATCTCAGAATTGGGTGAGAAAATGTTCCGTGAAAGGATATCTGGTATACCATGGTTATCATGTTTATGGTTCACCTGCGTCAAAGATTGAGGTTAAAAAGACAATTTGGTGATCTTCAGATAAAGCATCTCTAGATGGGAAAATGTGAAAACTAGCACTGGAAGCCCTCATAATGGGGATGATGGAAAAATTCCATCAACTCTGGCAGCTGCTGTGTTCTGAGAATGTTGTGGTTTACCGAGTTGTGTGAAATGACTGTGCCTCTCAGAGTAAACAAAGCTACTGAGGAGAATCTAGCTGGTTCGAATGACAGAATGACAGAAGAAATGCAAGCCCTGCATTTTATGTGCAGCCTGTCATTGGAGAAGCCTTTGCATCGTTATTAGCAAGCTGTACTAAATCCTGAAAACGTGCTGTTTCTAAAACTGTCCCCACTTTGGGGACTAAATGTTCTTTCTGTTCCTTTTACTGCCTCCAGCTACATTTAAACGTCCCTTTAGTACCTGAAGTTTGTCCTGTGTTGGCCACTTTGGTTTTTGCTGAGCTGAGCAATACTCTGTTGGGTTTTGGAGGCTCCTCAATCATTTGCTTACTGGAGCGCCCTTGTGGCCACTGAATGAGGTTTTCTCTTTACCCACCAGGAAAAGATAGACATTTTTACATTTCTTTCCAGTTTCTTGGGACCTGAAACCCAAAGATGGATCTGTGCGGGCCTCCCTGTGCGTTGCCATCACCAGAGTCATCTTAACTTTCTCTCTGGGGACAGATTCAGATACCTGATGCCAACATGGGGGGCAGACAGGAGTCGATGTTCTACTTTTAAGGTAGTTTTGTCTCTGCTTTTTCTTTTCTCATGTCAAGTTAAGAAAAGGAATTGATGTTTATTTTCAGAGCCTCCTTTTTCTCCATGTAAAGTCTTGATCATTAATGTTCAAAACTTTAAAAATTTATTCTTCTACTCTTCCAACCTTCATTTGTTGACGGTCTACTACATACAAAGTACTGTGCTTAGAATTCATGAGGATTCTATATGAGTCCAAAGGGATAAGCAGAGAACGGAGAGAGTACAGGTTCTCGCTGAGATTCTAGACCTGGGTTTGTTATGATGTCACCAACACGTTGTGACCTTGAATAAATCCTTTCCTCTTAGGAATTCTGTCTCCTCCTCTGTGAAAGGGGTTGGTGCCGGTTGATCTCCAAGGCCGCGCAGCTGTGTGTTCAGATGAGTGTAAGGCCAGGAGTGCAGCTCTCCTTACCTGCCCTGTTTCCACTAGTGAAGGGGAAATCTTAGGGAAAGGCAGGATGGCAAGATTCCTTCCAAAAGATGACACTTTAAGGGGAACACTCCCTTTCCCATTCCAGGACAAAAACTTTCCCCCTCTTAGTGTATATAATGCCAGGAATCATAGACAAAATCTGTTTAAAGTAAACCCAAGGCAAACAAACAAATAAAATGCTTAGTTATTGCAAAAACAGGATGGTAGCAATTTTTAGAGAATTAACCAACTTGTTTTTAAATTAAAAAGGTAGCCCATACTAAAAAATTTAGAAAATAATAAAAAGCACAGAGGGGAGGGATAAAATGTAGCAATAATCCCACTGTTCAGAGATACTCATTGTTAGCGTTTTAGTGTGCTTCCTTAGAGCCTTACAGTTCTTTGTAGTCCTGACATAGAGTGGATGTTTGTGTCCCCCCAAGATTATATGTTGAAGCCTAACCCCAGTGTGATGGTATTAGGAGGTAAAGCCTTTGGAGGTGATTAGGTCATGAGGGCAGAGTTCTCATGAATGAGATTAGTATCCTTACAAAAGAAAACCCACAGAGCTTCCCCGACCCACTGTGTGAGGACACGGTAAGAGGATAGCCATTTATGAACTGGGAAGCTGGCCCTCACTAAGCGCCAAGTCTGCCAGTGCCTTCATCTTGAACTTCCCAGTCTCCAGAATTGTGAGAAGTAAATTCCTATTGTTTTTAAGCCACCCAGTCTATGATTATCTGTTATAGCAACTCAAATGGACGAAGACGAGTCCCAATTAAAATTAAGAATGTGTTCCCTATAATACATCTTTTTTTTTATATAACACTATATTTTCAATAGCTATAAAATAATATACATCTATTGTTATAATTTTGGAAATTACTTAATAATTATTATTTAATAATTATTAAATTACTTAATAATATAAGGAAGAAAAAATGAACACCTTAAACTTCATCTTAATTCTTGGATAGTGGTGATTTTTTGTCTCTCTCACTTTCTGCTTCATGCTTTATTTTTCTCAAAGATCTCATTTGAGTCTCGGTACTATTCTCAGACAGCATTGTTTCTTCTTAAGCACAGGTAGAACAGCGTGTGATTCCTGCCCTGTGGACACTTCCCTTGGCTGGCACAGTGATTAACCTGGCGTCAATTACACTAAGTGCTATTTAAGGAGGGAGGACATGCAACCTGGAAGTTAAACCATTAGCACTAAATTAAGGCCATTGTGAAACAGGCAAGACATCTTTTAGATACAGATACGCTTTGTTCTCTTTCTGCTGGACACAGAGATTTGGTGATTTCATCCAAGTTAAGCTGAGTTGGTCAGGTGGATATTTGAAGAAACATGGTTACTAGGACCACCTTTCCTTGCAGGAGAAGTGTCTTCTGCTTTGCACTAAGGCGGTGGGTGCCGTGCTGTTCAGGGTTCACAGAGAATTCACTCCCTCCCTGCAAAAACACACTTATGGTGCATATTATTTGTACTCTGTATTAAGCTTTGTGTGTGTGTATGTGTGTATGTATCTGTGTATGAATGTGTGCCCACAAACACAGGTGACAATTCATAGACACCTAGGCATTTTTAGGTGCAGAAACAAGTTATAAGTAGTATAGAAGGAATTTATAAAGGGATTTGAAGTCAGAATGCTTTTTTTTGGTAGTTTATATGTGCATTAATCTGGCTAATTGTGATTATTTTCTTATATGGAAGGTTTTAATATGTCACACAATTTACAGTAGCCATTTATTATTATTTTTTGAGGGCCTACCATGTGTCAGGCATCTACTAAGCATTGGAGCTGTAGGAGTGAATAGACAAATTCTCTGCTCTCTCAGAATTTATGGTCCAGTGAATGGAGGCAAAGAAAAAAGCAAACAAATAAATTAAATAGATGTTAATAGCTGCTTGGAAGAGACAAAAAAGCAAGGAGAGACAATAAAGCAGGGGCATAGGGAGTATGTATGAATGTTGCTGGGTGTTGGTGCAGAAGGGTTAGAGGGTGGCTATTTTAAATAGTGTCAGGGGGCTTCCCTGGTGGTGCAGTGGTTAAGAATCCACCTGCCAATGCAGGGGACAAAGGTTTGAGCCCTGGTCCAGGAAGATCCTACATGCGGCGGAGCAGCTAAGCTGGTGCGCCACAACTACTGAGCCTGCTCTTTAGAGCCCGCTAGCCACAACTACTGAAGCCCGCACGCCTAGAGCCTGTGCTCCACAATGAGAAGCCACTGCAATGAGAAGCCCACACACCGCAGCGAAGAGTAGCCCCCACTCGCCGCAACTAGAGAAAGCCTGCGTGCCGTAATGAAGACCCAACGCAGCCAAAAATAAATAAATAAAATAAGTAGTGTCAGGGAAGGCCTGACCATATATGGGACGAATCCTGCAGATCATAAATGTGAGTGATAAGGAGGCATGTGAGTGGAGACCTGCAGCACATGAGGAAGGGAGTCATGCAGCCATCTGGAGGAGAGTGATGTAGGCAGAAGGGTCATCATGTGCAAAGGTCCTGAGGCAGATACACGCTTGACGTATTTGAGGAAGAGCAAAGAGGCCTGTATGGCTAGATTAGGGGAAGTGAGGAAAATAATGGTAAGAGGTGAGATCAGAGAGGAATCACGGTTCTCAACTTTAGTAAGCATTTCTCTTAGATGCTGTGTGCATATCATTTCACTCATACTTTGACCCAGTGTGCTTTGATTCCTGGGGGAAATCATACAAGGTGACGTCCAGCCAAATGGACTGGTGGTCGTTTGCTCTCCTGTTTTGGTAATCTGAGAGGGTGTATTGGTGTATTCAGTTTCCATTGCTGCAAAACAAATGACCACAAATTTGGTGGCTTAAGACAATGCCATTTATCACCTATAA